TTTTTTTTTTTTGGGGGGGGGGGTTATTACGACTATCATAATACCATCATTCTAGTTGATAGGGAAACCTCGGGAATAACACTACGAAGTGTTAGGCCCCTCTATTTCGCAGTCAGCGAAACAGTAGCACCACGAGTAGCAGCAACAAGGTTGAGAAAAGACAAGACAATCGTAGCGGGTTCACCTGCCCCTCGTTGATGAACGAACACACTTTAGGGCTCAAGTGCAGATAGTAGCAGAAGACAGACTTTGACTTTCGTTCAAACCTACGGCCCAAAAGTGTTGCATAGATACCTCGGGCTTCCCGTTAAGAAATCCTCTCCGAACTTGTTGATGATGGGCCTGGCGATGTTTGCTCAGGTCAGGATACCGATGTCCCAACCTGCACCCCGTAAGATCTTGGGTTTAGGGATTAGGGTTTAGGGTTTAGAGTGTAGGGATCAGGGTATAAAGAACTACAGCCCGGTTCCTGAACACTCAAACCGCACCATTCCCAAACCCAAAACCGTAAACACCAAACCCTAAGCCCAAACCGTGACGCCAATGCCTGAAACTCGAAATCCATAAAACCCGTAAATTCTAAAACCATACACCGTGAGCCCTGACAGCCTCAGCCCTCTAGCCAAAGCTCCTTTCACACGGGCTTAGAAAGATAGTTCTACAATGGTGTTCCTAAAGTCCCCTACACCATAAACCTAAGGTGTAGGGTTTCATAAGGGGGTTCTAAAGGATTCGAAAAGCCTCTGTGCAGGGTCCTGTCTTAAGCGCTTAGAGGGGGCTGTCGGGCTTCGGGTGTGAAGGTTTAGGGTTTACAAAAAGATTAGGGTGTCACGGGGTTGGAAGTTGAAGGGTGAGGAAGGGCTTTCCCACTTTAGCGTTTCGGGTTTAGCGTTCCTCCACGTTAACTGTTTTTTGCCTTTTTGGAATGCTCATAGGGGAGCCTCTAAACGTCTGTTTGGTTCAGGACGGGCCTCACATCTCGCTGGTGGCTTTGAGCCACTTTGCCGGATGCACCGATAGCGATAATAGAACGCCTGGTTCAATATTATTAAAGGGAACCTTTACAAAACCCATGTACCTACAAACCCATATAACAACCCGAAAACAGCCTAAATTCCCTTCTACAGCCCCAACAACCCGAAACCCCTCATAGAGCCTCTGTTTAAAAACCCTATGAAAACACCCCACAAAAAATGATTCAGAGGTCCGAAACACTAAACCCGTAAACCCTTAACCCAAAACCCTAAAGGTCAGTCAGGGGATCTCCGCCGTTGGCCGGCAAGAGGCGAGCTTGGTCTTCCAGAAGCTTCTCGTGAAGGGGCACCGGAACCATCCTCAGGCTTCTCATGTACTTAGTAATTACAATAGGGCTTATAAAGGGTCCTATAAGGGCTACTATGAAGGTTTCGGGGCCTTCATAATTAGAATAAGGTCTTGGGGCATATTATACTATAATTGTACTAAGGTGCCCACTCAAAAAAATAGTATCGGGAATTGTTTCGGCCCCTAATAGCCCTATATTAGGTTTCAGGGTTCTTATGGGGAATTCGGAATACTACAAGGGATACAACAAGGTATCCCGGTACCGGCACCATCCTCGAATTTTAAATGTCAGGATTCTTACAAAGTTTCAGGCATTCAAGGTTTTTGGGCGTTTAGGGTTTCTGGCGCTGTGAGTGTAGTGAGAGTTGCTATGAGGGATGTTCAGGGTTTAGGGCCTTAGTATGTGGGTTACGATGAGGGCAGGGATTCACAAAAGTTGAGGGGTTTGGGGTTTGGGGCATTTTCCTAGGAGTCTGCGTAACTTCTTGCGTGCCGGGTTGCAGTTTACAGATGACAGTAGCCAAAGAAGAAAGCCGGCGAATATTAAATACGAATCTGGAGAATCTAATTTGTTTGTGAGTATGTATTTTTGTGTGCAAATGTGCCTCTGCCATCAATGTACGTATGTATGTCTGTATCTATATGCGTATGCATGCATAGTCACCTATGCATGGAAGTTCATGTCTTGCGACGGTACTGAGATTGATGGGACCAGCTAGCACCATTTTCACTATCTGCGTCTGATTACTCTTGCATCAAGATGGAGAGCTTCAGAAAGACTTGCATTGCAAACGTCACGAGGTTGCCTCATCCAACCAAGCCAAAACCCCTAAACCCTAAATACCCAAACTAAACTGAAATCCCCGAATTTTAGGGCTTAAAGTTTTTTAGAGTTTAAGTTTTTTTGGGTTTGTTAGGGTTTAGGGTTTCGCCTACAACCCTTGACCCTCAAGCCCTGAAGCTCAGACCCTAATTTGAACCGACTCAGCTTGATTAAGGTTTAGGGTTGAGGGCTTTCGGGTTTTATTTTCGGGTTTAGGGTTTGGGGTTTTAAGTTTAGGTTTAGGGGATTAGTACTAAGCTCATCAGGAGCCAAACGCTCGGATATCGGCTGGTCAAGGAATAATATAAGTAATTATTCTGGCTTCTAAAATTATCTGAAAAGTCGTGAATCCCCTGAACCCTGCACCCTAAACCCTGAACCTTACCTGGACCCTTACAGTACGCAGAGTGAACAGCCTTTTAAATAAACCCTAAAACCTGAACCGCGAACCGGAAACCCTAAACCCAAAGCTTGGGGCGATGTTGGGGGTTAGTGCCAGTGCCTGTGGCCGGATCACCGAGACTCAGAAACGTCTAAAAGCCCAAGGGATAAACTCTACGACTACAGGCGTAGGAAAGCTCCACACCTAATATAGCGGCCTCAATGATTAGACTAGGATTTTAGGGTAGATAACGCTAGACAATGTCTAAAGGAAACCTGAGGAATTGTACTACTGTACAATCAGTTCGACCGTTATTTTAATGTGCACGCCGCGGTGTACTTTTCCATGGCTAGAGGTGAATCGCAAATTCGCAGTCACCCCGGCTCTTCCCTTAGCAGTCGGCTCAGAAATGCCCCTTTCACATTGATGGCTTCTGCCTGACTAAAATGCTGTCAAACTGCCCAGCTTAGGGGGAGCAGTGACTGCTTCAGCGTCGGCGTCTGTCAATGAATGTGGCTGTCGCCACAAAGGGAGGATCTTTTTCTTGACCCCCCCTGACTCTTTCTGAGCCTCAGGCTTGTTCTTGACCCCCCCGGCTCGTTGTTGACCCCCCCCGGCTCGTTCTTGACGCTACGAGTTGCTGTCCTGGTAGACAAGCTGGCATTTTGCCTTGTCTCCAGGCAGACTTCCCAGAGCTGTCTCGCAAAGACGCTGTTCGAGCCAGGGGAGGGGCTCGAACAGCTTTGCGAGGAGGCAATCGCGGAGCTTGGCGACGTTCCAGGACGGCTTCCAGCTCACCCCCTGGTCGTCAAGAAACTTCAGCCTTTCCCCGCCCTTCTGCGTGTCAAAAACAGCCAGCTTGTTTTTGACAACGCCTTGGAAGGAGACGGCGCACGCAGTGGCTGCTGCGCCGTACGCGGAGAAAGGGAAGAAGCGCTTGTGCCCTCCACCCCGCTGGTTCTTGACCCTCCCGAGCTGCACCCTGGTCTCTTCATTCGCTCCATCAGCTGACAAGCAGCTTCTTCATCAAACAATTCCCCCGATCTGCTAGCAAGCAGTTCGTCTTCTTTGCAAGGGCCGTGTCTATATGGCGAACCTTACTTACTTACTTACTTACTTACTTACTTACTTACTTACTTACTCCCTCTTGTGCAACAAACTCCTTCCTCATGAACCCAAACGGCTCCTTACAACCTTTGTGTGTTTTTTTGCGTCAGTGCCTGACGACGACTCCAACGCAGAAGCTTTCGGCAATCATGCCGGCGCCTGCCGCCAACTCCGCCTCACATGTGGCGAACCTTACTTCCTTACTTACTTACCTACTTACTTACTTGCTTACTTGCTTACTTGCTTACGTATACTTACTTACTTATACTTACTTACTTACTTACTTACTTACTTACTTACTTACTTACTTACTCCCTCTTGTGCAACAGACGCCTTCCTCATGAACCCAGACCGCTCCTTATAACCTTTGTGTGCCTTTTTGCGTCAGTGCCTGACGACGACGCCAACGTAGAAGCTTTCGGCAATCATGCCGGCACCTGCCGCCGATTCCGGCTCACATGATGACCTGCTGACGAGTTTCTTCATCAAACAATTTATACGATCTGCCGCCGACTCCGCCTCACATGATGACCTGCTGACAGGTCACCTGCCTACCGCTCGGCTCCTTCAAAGTACAACGTGTTTGTACCGGTCAAAGACACTAACACGTTGGGGAGCACAGCTAAGTGTGATCCTTATAACGAACACATTCATGTCTCCACACCCCTTTTTGCCTTTGTTTCCTGAATGGCAACTGGTTTGTCTCCTGCATGGCAACTGGCCACTGTGCGGCTACAGCTTTCCCGTCTATTTGCTTGATACGCAAGATGCGGGAGGCCTTCTCGGGAGTCCAGCGCCTGTAAGCTTCTGCATGATATATGACAGAATCTATAATCTACTTGTGGAGTCCGAAGCAAGGACTCTAAAACGCAAGGTGGCCCGGAGGGACTTCTGACCCAAGGTCTCCATCAGCCAAGACACGCCCTTGCCGCGCTGCTTTCTTGCATTGGCGGGCGGTGCCTCGTCCCGTGTCGCCGATTTACGCTTGCGCCCTTTGGCCCGAACGATTGGAATGTTTGCAAGGTCAACGGCGCCCTCCAGCTGCTTTCACGAACGTCTCATGCTCGCAGTCAGCATGATGCAGACTTTTGTACTTATAGCGTCCGATCGGGATGCCATATACGACGAATGTACTGCAAGTATCACAATAGACATACGGGCCTCGGCGTCTGGGCGAAGGACGAGGCCGTCCTGGACGCAGAGCCTTTTGACCAGCTCTGCCTTGCGCAGGTTGGAGGGCAGCTGGTACAACCTCGCGAGCTTCTTGAGCCTGGCCGGGACGTGGGCGACACGACATGCAGCCTGTTTGGCACCGCCGAGGCAAGCACTCGGGCACCTTCATCTTCGCGAGGATGGCTGCTTGCGCAGCCTGCATCGGGAGGAATGCTGACAATCTGACTATAAAACATATGCGCAGGCCTGGAACCGCTCTCGCTTGCTGCGTGCAGCTGACCTCTTTCCGCGGTTCCGTCCCCGCGCTTTCATGGCTTTTGGGGCCATGTCCGGCGAAAGCAAGACGAGTGGTGACGGACTTTACGGCTTGTAGTTTGACTCGAGCAGGCATGCCGCAGACAGTCGAGAATTCGAGGGGGGGGGGTCGAAAAAAAGAGGGGGGGCCAAACAAAAAGGTGGGGGGGTCAAATTAAAGACGGGCCCCGCCACAAACGGGCTGGCTGGATACAAAACGATAGGCTGATCCAGCTCGGGTTCTTCGCCATCTGGCCAAAATTTCCTCGAAACATGCACATTCCCAAACACCCGAAGCCACCAAGTCAATCCTAGACCTCAACTACCCAGCTGCACCAGCCCCCCCCCCTAAACCGTAAGCCTCTAACGTGTGAAACTTCTTTACCTTACCACTAACCCTAGGCTGCTATGCACCAAGCGCCCGTCCCTAACCTAAACCCTGCACCACAACAGTCAGCCCATCAACCCCAAACCCCGATGCCACGAATGTAAGCTTTTCGACCGGAGCTGGTTTTCGGAACCCGCATCTTGCAGCTCTGTGTCGCCGGCTTCATCTGCGTCTCCTGAAGACATCAAGGACAGTTGCTTGAAGTAGGGGCTTAAGATCTGGAGATCTTTACCACTGAACCGTCCTAATCTTTGATCATGATGTTTCCCTAAACCCTAAACCCCTCAACCCTCAGCATTGTGTAAGCTCGGATTTTGGAGCCGCCATATGCGGCTGCATGCGTTCGAAGGGGGTCTCCTCATGTGCATTCTTTTGCGAGGTGGGGGGCTGGTTAGCTTTGGGGCTCAGGTATACCCTAAACCCTAAGTCCTAAACCCTGAACCCTAAACCCTGTGCAGTGCGGACTTTCCTGTGCTTTGAGACGGGACTTTGCGACTTGGGTCCTTGGGTGTGAGACGTGAAACCGAAAAACACCCATGAAACCCTGTTGTGGAACTCTTTAAAATCCGGAACCATATATATGATGAACCCTAAACCCTAAACCCCTAAACCCTAAACCCTAAACCCCCAATCTAGTACAAACCTGCTGAGGCCGTTAAAGCCTTGTAAAAGCAAGCGAGCCAGCTTAAAACCGTCTAAAACCCTTCTACACCCTTATACCGCCGTTATACTTACTGTCCAAACAGCCATGGGTTGAAAAGCTCAAGCATTCAGAATAAGACCACCTTATAAGAGCCACAAGAAATAAAAAGTTGGGTTTTGGACCAATACCTATGAAACCCTTTTCAAAACCCCACAGATCGGAGGCCTCAAAAGGTGGGATGAAGGTAGGTAGGGTTAAGGGATCCCGTATATAAGGACATTTGGGACTATCCCACCCACCTTCATTCCTCCTTTTGAAGCCTCCGAAGTTAAATGAAACTAGAGGTGGGGAGTTTAGGGTATGGAGGGCTTCTATGAGGCTTCCTATAAGGTATGTAGACCCTAAACCCTAAACCCTTCTATAAGGCCCCTTTAACGGTAACTACCCATCTGAAGATGTCCTAGACGAAGAGACCCAAGCCCTGAACCCTGAACCCTAAACCCCTATAAACCCCTATAAACCCCTATAAACCCTATAAACCCTATAAGCCCTATAAACCCCTAAACCCTAAACCCTTTACATAAAGCCTAGGCCCTGTACAAAACACCCTACAAAGGGAGAAACAACAAGTATAGACTTTTCTTTCATTATGGTTCCTTTAAGGAAGATCCCCAAAAAACGCATTAACGTATGGTACTCCAAAGCCCAGTTTAGGATACAAAAAACCCTAAACCCTAAACCCCAAACCCCAAAACCCCAAACCCTAAACCCTAAACCCCAAAACCCAAAACCCTAAACCCTAAACCCTAAACCCCAAAACAAAGCGCTCGGACCATGCCTCGGCCAGCTGCTGCTGCCATGCCACGCGCCGGGCCCCGAGCTGCCTCTCCTCCGGCGGACCAGCCCTAAACCCCCAAACCCCTAAACCCTAAACCCTGAACTCCTAAACTCTATAAACCCTAAACTCTATAAACCCTAAACTGACTAAACCCGTAAGCCCTAAACCCCGAAACCCTACTTGGAGGATCATGGGACTTAGTAAGTAAGGTTATAACTACCTTAATTGGGGTTATAATTACTTATAAGTATAGTTACCTTGCTTATAACCCTAGTTACTAAGTCCATGAACCCCGAAACCGGTACCCTAAACCCTGAACACGGGTTAGGGTTTAGGGTTTAGGGTTTAGGGTTTAGGGCTTAGGGCTTAGGGCCAAAACCCGTAAACTCTAAACCCCTAAACCGCCTAACCCCTAAACTCCTGAAGCCTAAACTCCTAAACCCGTAAACCCTGAACTCTAAACCCCTAAACCCTAAACCCTGATTGAACCCTTAAACTCTCATCCCTGATGGAACCCTTTAAACCCTGAACCCGGAACCCTAATCCCTAAAGGCTCCTTTAAGGGGAGGGTTTTGGGTTGAGGGTTTAAGGGTTCAAGAAGATCTTTAGGGTTCCCTGAAGGGTCCTTTAAGGGCTCCTGTTTGGGCTTGCAGGGTTTTTATGAGGGTTTCTACAAGGGATGCAACAAAAAGACATCAAAAGGGCTCTTCAGGTTTAGGGTGTTTGGGTTTGGGGTGTGGGGTTGAGGTTGTCGGGAGTTTAGGGCTTAGCACTCAGAGTTTAGGGTAAAAAGGCTGTTGGCGGGGCCTTCGAAGCTTTTTTGGCAAAGGCCTTTATATGGATTCTGTAAGGCTTGCTGTGCACTGTAAGTGCTTCATAGGGGTCCCGCGAGAGTTCGTGAAGTTCCTTCAAGTTTTATCAGGTCCTGCAAGTTTTACAAGGGAGCTTGAGGGTTTAGGGTTGAGCTCAATTGACATCAAGTGCTTGACAATTCCCGGCTTCATGCCAAGCAGCTGTTTCCAGTGATCTTTGCCACTGGCACACTTCCTGCTGCGAGGCCAGGACTTGCAAGGGCTTACGGTTGAGAAACCCCATGCAAGACATACACAGACTTATCCAGCAGGTCTTTGTAGCCTAAACCCTAAGCTCTAAAGCCTAAACCCAAAGCCCTAAACCCAAAGCCCTAAACCCTAAACACTAAGCCCTAAACCCTAAACCCTAAGCCCTTAACCCTGAGCCCTAAACCCGAAACCCAAAGCCGCCCTAAACCCTGAGCCCTAAACCCTAAACCCTAAGCCCAAAACCCCAAACCCTAAGCCCTAAACTCTGAGCCCTAAACCCTAAACCCCAAGCCCCAAACCCTAAACCTTTAACCGTAACAGTGGGTTCTCTCATGCGGATGAAAAGGTTCCAAAGTCCCTGATGCAATCCTCAGCTAATCGGGATCCTTTACAGGTTCGTTAAAGAGTTCTATAAGGGCTACTATAAGGGTTTAGGGTTTAGGAGCCTTTATAATTAGAATAGGGTTTTGGGGTTATACGAAAAACTATAAAGAGGAACCTACAAAGTAGTATAGCCTAAACCCTAAACCCTAAACCCAATAAAGGCCCCTACAGTACCTGTCGTACTGGGCCCTCTTAGTTTCACTTGAGCCCTTCCGAGAAAGAAGCCTTCAACCCTAATCCCTGAGCTCTATAACCGTTTAGGGTTTAGGGTTTAGGGCTTAGGATTTAGGGTTTAGGGGGATTTGGCATTGGAGCTTCTACTAGAAATCCCTTCTCCGGTTACAGGACACCCCGGGCTTAGGGTGCTGGGATTGCTTTCAAGCCCATCCCTTAGACAAGAATTCTACAACTCCAAGGCCCATCAAACCCTTGCAGAACCCATATTCAAAAGCTATAATGCTGTGCAAACCCTAAAGGACCTAGCCCTAAACCCTAAACCCGAAACCCCTAAACCCTAAACCCTAGAGCCCTAAACCCAAAACCCTAAATCCTAAACCCCTAAAGCCTAAACCTTAAACAGGAAAGAGCCGTCTGCACCTCCTCCCGAAGTTGCAGGGTGATGTTCGTCTCTTGGACTGCGAGCCTTAGGAAAGCTTGGGCGCTTCCGATGAACCCTAAAACCCGAAACCCAAAAACCATAAAACCCTTAAGCCCTGAACCCTAAACCCTAAACCCAAAAACCCAAAAACCCTAAAACCCTGAACTCTGAACCCTAAACCCAAAAACCCAAAAACCCTAAAACCCTAAAGCCCTGAACCTTCAACCCCAAACAACCCTAAACAACCCAAAGAAGCCACACAAGTCGAGAAGCCTTAAAGTCCTAGACTGGCCCTAGACCGTTCTAGATCCCTGATAGTAACTGACTCTTCTCATATACCTTATGATAACTCTTACCATATACCTTATAGTAAATCTTACCATTATACCCTATGATAACTCTTACCATATACCTTATAGTAACTCTTACAATATGCCTTACAGTGACTCTTATGGTTTACCTTATACGAACCCTGATTAGAACTATTGTTTCGAGTTTGGGAAACAAGACCCAGGCTGAAACGCCAAGGACCTCGCGTGGAGTCTGTGACAAACTCGGTCTACAAGTTTGATTTTCGGGGTTTGGGTTCGTGTTTAAGGGGATACCTCAGGGTTACTATGAAGGGATCGACAAGGGCTACTATAGAGATGACTTCGGGTTTAGAGATTAGGCTTTAAGGTTTAGGGTTTAATGCTCAGAGTTTAAGGTCAACGGTTTAGGGCCTAGGTCTCGGATGTATAGGGTTTTGGGCCTAAGGTTTAAGGCTCAAGGTTTGCATGGGGGTTGGCGTTAAAGGTCTAGGAGTTTTTTTGTTGAGGGTTCTTCTTTTCCGTCTGCACATGGGTGCGACCTGCGGAGGCCTACTTGGGATTTAGGGTTTAAGGTTTTCTG